AGGATCTTCCTAGGCCAACACAACGCAATTCAAGAAGCGCAGCAGAAAGTAAACGGTGTCGAACCGTTCGCTAATAAGTAATCTAATAAAGGCCTTCCTTCTTTGGCTTAAGTCTTAGCGAAGGACAGACAAAACACGGGTCGCCACTCACGCTTTCTTAAATGTTGAGCCAAGGATGGGCCTAGAAGCGCACCACTCAACCACAACTATAGCTGCAGGATAGATAGAAGAGGCGCAATCATCGCTTTACCGACATCAGCGGGACGTACCATCATCTTGCCTAACAAAGAAGGAGGGAGGTTGCAATCTGATGCAACAAGAGTACAGGGCTGCGAGAAGCGAAGATGTTAGAAGGGCTAGAATGCATCAAACGAGGACATGGCGAGCGTAGTGTTGAAACAAAGTGTACCTATTTGAGTCCTCCATAACAAAAACAGGGCAGGTTTAAAGGGTGCACATCAAGGTTTTCTGCGTCCGGTACAAGTTAGAGGTTCTTAATGCAATTTGCTTGTCGTTGTTGTCATCGATGCTGATATGCCAAGAACAGTACCATTATTTAATTAAAGTGGAAACTTTTCTAAATCAATAGGGCATCCTTTATATGGAAACGAGCGATTTTCAGATCCAATTAAATCATATACATGATGCGAAGGGCGCAACCGCCCTCCATAATATGCCCATTTCAGCGTCAGTTATGTTTTGCTTTTAATTCAGTGAGTGTGCGAGTATTTGGAAGTGCCTTACATTTCCTCCCCATAATATTACATATTGAGGATTAGTTCCTGTCATAAGCGATGGGCTAATTCGAGCGATATTTGCGTGGCAAGAGTCTAGCACAACATGTGCCAGCTCAGCTTTGAAATCTGTCTTCGTAATGTTGAATATGTAATTAATTTCTACTCTGTTACATTATTCTATTGTAGGGAATTGTGGTTAGCGTTACCTTTGGGCTGACACACGACATTCTTTTCCATCCAGTCATTAAACTGCTGTTGTCTTCGACCATATAGTTTTTAGGAAGAGCACCAGAGGCCTGCGTTTTTAGCCTCTTCTATTACGAGCGAGCTCCCTAATTGTGTATGCTGTACTGCGGTAGATCGACGATATAAACTTGGTTACCTTTACTATATGAAGTAAGGTTAGAGCTTACTAAAAATTCATGGTTGTGAGTTGAACACAGCCTTAGTTTCGTGTATGTGCGTTCATGATGGGTATGTTTGACACGAAATTCTCGCCGCCCCTCCAGATCTCACTTGCCCTTTCTCCTCGTTCACTCGTCCATCCGGTCGTCACAACGAAAACTTCAACGCGGACCTAAATGCGGACGCTACGCTCGACTCTTCAAGTTTAATGCCGAGGATAGATATGCGAGTGTGCACGTGTCCATCTTCCGAACAGCTGCTGGCATTGTTCGTAAACGAAGTATCGTTCTCGCCAGGCTCCGCTAAGTTTGACGTGCAATGTATACAAAGGTCGGCGCCGGCAGAAGGAAGAGGACAGCGCTGTACGCCTTTTTATTCTACTATATCTGTTCTAAATTTACAGTTTTTGATACGCTTTATTGTCCTTAAGCAATGCTATAAGACTACGAGTAAACGAAAGTGTGAAGGCCGCCAACCTAGTGCTGACCTACACGCCAGCAGGATACAGGCAAAAGCACTTTCAAAATGTCTTTGTAGTTTATCTTCGATACGCCCGTTCAGGGGGTTTCGATTGTTAAAACAAACTATTATATTATACGAAAGGTTTTCCACTTCAATTGGTAGTCGGCCGATGTGCAGTTGGCCGTTGGCGAAAAGCTTCGTGGGTACAAAGCTCTCCGGGAGGGGACGCAGAGGCACCCCTGGGGACGCCGGTGTTGAACAACGCGCACGGCAATATTTCTCGTTTCCCACATGCGTTTGTAGCATCCTTTATATATAACACTCACGTCGTTGAGTTAATGAGTAATTTCATGGATCGTGCTCGGTAAAGAAATTGTTAGGCAACAGACACTAACCTGGGTAATGTCTAACGTTATATATAACATGCAAACGTATAGTGGAAAGCACTAGTATCGTATAAAGCTTGAACTCCCCAAAAGAAGTAGACACAGACATAAATATATGATAACATAGAATATAAATGGATATAAATAATTTTCCAGCATTCTATTTTGTGATCCGTGCCAGTTTGCTCTCCAATGCAAAATATTCTGTATCAAAACCCATGTGGACCATGTTGACCCAACAACCCGAATATACTAGACAAAGAATAGACGATTCATTCAAAATACTTTATAACAGTGTAGCCTAAAGCCTGAAAAAGAAGGTATCTACAAGATATCCTTGTATTAATAACATTTCATGAAACACCTGAAAGATAACGTCGTCATCATCATCATAACGATGAATGTTTTCAAACAGCTGCTTAATCCTCAAACAAGCAAATTTGTTTGCTTTTTGAATGCTCTTGCTTAACGCGGACCTTTCTCCTGAAGGTTAGAACCTGCTTTTACTTAGTCAAAGACAGCACTTAAAGTCGGTGGAGGCAATCACCGAACGCTGCACAATCCACCATATTCCTTTCTCACTTATATTTCTTACGGCAGCCGAAATACCTCAGAGGCTTAACCTCATACTGTTTTCAGTTTTCGTCGGTTCACTACTAATTTAACAATCAACATCACACAGAATTACGGTGCCCCAAAGAAGAACACTTATATATTTCCTGATTTATTCGGTCTGTAACAATCATGTTTAAGCATTAGAAGAGTCGAAGAAGCACAGAAGAGTTTTCAGAGGGTAATGGAGTCGGTCAGCGTATCTAGGCACTCCACATGACATTAGATTTCGAACCTAGACCACAACGTGTTTCTAAAATTAAATCCGTTACCAACTAAGCGTACGTTTGTTACGTGTGCATGGCCTAGGCTAAATTAAAAAGCGTTATAATTTCTAGTTAGCAAATAACCTAATTCGTTTTGGATACGTGCATATACTTCCAGCCATAGTAAATATTGAATTGATATTGTAACAGCTTTCTGTTACGCGTACATTTCAACGAAACGCTTCGGTTTTAAGTGGTCATCTGTTACCAAATATGGCGCTGACTTTCTTGTTCTGGACGAGTATAGTACGTAGAGTAATTATTTTCTAATAACTCATCCTTTTTTCCAATTCAAAAAACTTTGTGAGGTGTCTGTTATATATATATATATATATTGAGCGCTTATAATGAGTACAAGTATGCCAATGTATGCGTTTCGTGACAAGAGATTTTACCTTGCACAGCCAATGCGCGCTACCTTAGGGTTGACAACTCGATATCTATCAAGTGTTTTGTGTAACAGATATATCGTATTTATGCGGAGATTATGTATCTATTTTTTGACAAGTTGTAACATGTTCTTCGGCGGAACAACTATAGGCGTAGAAACGCGAAGACCTTAGATTTTCATAAGATAGTGTACTTTATTTTGTACCAAGATTGTGAATAGGGCTAATAGACGTACAGATACGGTAGAACGGACAATCTACCAGAAAATCTTGTTACATGAATTTCTGGTGTGCTATACGCCTTACGAATCGAAGTGTCTATTGCCGCTTCCATCACTGCTCCATCTATAAAGCTGCGTATTTATGTTCTAAGGAACACCGAATTATAATAAATACCTTAAAAGTACTATTCACATTATCGACTCTACCTTTTCTGATCTGTTCAACATCCCCCAGCCTTACTCCCCCCTGCACTCCTTTTAGCTCTAGCCGCAGCAATTAATTAAGAGGAGGTTAACTAGAATCAGGCGTAATCACAATATTGGGAAGGATTATGGCTTGTGCGTCCATGTCATTTCTCTTGCGTCTTGGCCGTATGCTCTGGCGTTTTCAATAGAGGCGACGCTACTTACGCTGCAGGAAGCACGGCCTGCCAGCTTTCCAGTACAACCATCAGCATAAACAACACCAGCAGTTTGACCATCGGTGGCAAGTAAGCCCAGAACCAAACATGTACAGAGATAGATAGTCACCCCACTGACTGACTGGTGAGCCGACGCGTTGCTACAAACGCAGCCACATTAACTATTCTATACAGAATTCACTCACTATAGGCGACAACTCATTAATATGTTAATGACGATCATATAATTTACGTGGCAGCGGGCAGACGTCGGGCGGGCGTCGTAGTCTGCGCGCGCGGTAGAAGCCCAGGTGGCCGCTTTATTGGACAAACAAGCCAACGGACTTATGCCCACTGGCGGCAAAATTGTCAGGTACCAACTGGTGATGCCTATTCTTTCTGGGAATCACAGCAATGTTTAACCCTCTTAACTCGGTTGTTGTAGGACATTCGGCGGTAACGTTTGCGACGGCTCCTGCCATCATTAGAGCTCTGTAGCTGTTCAGGTGTCCGTCTGCTTAACGCCGGTTAGCCTGTTGGCTTACTTACCTGTTTACGAAATAAAGCTCTGATCTGTGTACCCGAGTCAGCTGCGTATGATATTAGCAGCTGCGGTAGGGTTGTGGTAACATCTGATATTCCGTTCTGCTGCTTCTGTTATTGTTGTTACTATTGTCCGTGCGCTCAGTGCGGAATCGCAGTTGAATTAATTGTATTCAGGTGTCGCCTGTTATCTATTTGTCTGTGTCTTCGCCTTTTTTTGTCTGTTTGTGTATCTGCCTATCTATAATATATATATAACATCTAATGTTGTATGGGTCAGTCTGCTATCCAGTCACACGCGTTAGTTCGAGGTCACAAACACAAACGAGTTAGGAACGGTCCATATATGAACAGGGACGGATACGGCCAGCGGCCATTACGCTTATACATGAATAAACACACGCTGGTGTTCATCATTCCGATAGGAGTAACCGTAGCCGCGGTGATGCTTTGTGTGTACAATGTTATCATTCAGCCCGCTTCATGCCATATGTTATACTCTAAAACTATAGGTAGTATGACTCGTATTTTATTATAACCCAGTTGAAACTGATCAGATTTTTTTTTTTTTTTTTTAGCATATGGACGTGCGCTCGCGTCCACTGACATCCACGAAAATCCTCTCAAGGGCACAAGTAGGCAGGAACGCAGCAACGCATACGGACACGACATGTCCAAATTTTTACAGTACACATGTAGTGCGTACACGGCGGAACTTGTTGATCGATTAGCTTGCAAAATGGCGTAAATCTATCTCTTTCTTTCTGTCTTTTTCTATATTATGTACGTATCGTTGCGGCCAGCACAATGGGTGAAAACGTCAGTGGGAAAAAGAAACAGAGCAAGTTTAAGAATCCATTGTATTGATACACGAGAGTACCATTGCTGCGGCTGCTAATGTAACTACGTACACGAAATGGCACTTAGTCTAACATGGTTGAACGAGACGTGCAAGCTAACACGATCAGTTAGTAGGAATTATGAAGGACATTCACCACTGACTTGTGAGTTATTTTTCTCCTTAGACGCTTCCTTTGCGTGGAACTATATAGCGTATCGCATCTGAACTAAGACAAACTTTGGCGGGCTTTTTGTCACAGCGGGAATGCGTTCATCCGCCACTCTTGCTATCCTGAGCCTATTCTTTCTAGAACAAAACAAATTCGTCACAGAGGAAAACAATGCACGTCTTTCGCAGTTTGAACGAGAATAAACTATTACCTAATCTCTTCGTTATGGACGAATCCTTTAATAATACTAATTACTTTTCGTTTGTAATCCACGATCTACTTTATTGCCTGTTTTTTATGCTGCTCGTAACGGAGAAGAAGACATTGCGCAGTTATTTATCGAAAAGTTGAAGAGGATAAAAGGGAATTATTAAAAAGGGAACATTTTGAAAATGGCCAATGCAAAGTTTAGATCTCTAATTGAAACTGTGATCTAATAGTCAGATGATATTTCTGGTACATTAAAAAAATTCTACCAACAGGTATATACGCTATGAAAAACAAGGCATAAGAAAACATCCCAATTTAGGTTTCATACTTTGTATATAACAGCAAGCGACAGTTACGTCTAAAGGCTAATCTACGCTAAATCTAAAGTCTTTTCGTATAGCTCAATAATGACAACTGAAAAACACAAGTTCCATTTAGGATAGACTACGGGAGCAGAGTGCCTAACCATTCGTGCTATTCATATCAACCAGTCTGAAAAAAATACTATGTGAGTACATTTACTATAATTACTATTAGATGAAGGCACTATTCAGCGGCCATATTTTCTGTTTCACATATATATATATATATATATATATATGAGTTTGTTACACTATGATAGAGCTGCAATTTTGGCTCCATGAATATAAGGCTCCGTTTCTGATATCGGACAGTAAATTCGCTCTTAAATCAGAAAGCGTAAGTGCAATTCCAGTGTTTTCTGCGCGGAGTAGAAACGGCGCTGTGTGGTTCTGATACGTTGAAGATCGTAGCCTTAAGACAGATGTATTCCGGCTATTAGATCTACGTTACGTGAAATTCGAGGTAACGAGTTGTAACTGACACTTATTTGCGTGTAAGCGCTACTCTCTAAACATCGAGAAGACTGATCTGATGGTCGCCAATGATGGTCTGGATGCTCAATGCTGAAAAGCAGGCTCATTTTTGGCAAAATACAATAAGAATTCCAGCGAACGAAAAAGAATATTCTAAAACGGCGTCTGCTGCATACATTTCTGGCTATTTTTACAGTTCGAATAATAAATTCCTTTTATGCACACTTTCAGTGACGATGTTGTCAAATGTGACTGTATTTCTATCCTTCTTTGGATAAGATCCGCTACTTTACAATTGGAAGCACGGCCAGGAAGTGCGTCAAACATAATAATTGGGCGGCACTCACGTATTTCTTAAGCGGTATTACAATTAAACTGCGTTAGGCCCTGTATATACAGATGTAGAGGCAATTAAGCTTTTCATCTACATGTTAAACCTGTTTATTATTATCGTCGGTGCTGGTCACACTCGATAGTATCGAATGGTCAGAAAGTGATGGCTCTTAGTAGAAAAGGTAACGGGACATTGCAGGGTTGGCAATTTCGTGTGCGATGCCAAAAAGGGTAGGACAGATGTTGTAAATCAAAGAGATAATGGCGCAGTCCTTCAAATCGAATCCGACAAAATCCGTGAAGAACCTTGTGTTTGTGTCTGTGCTGAGTCTCGAATGTGCCTTTAAAGATATGCCTATGCATTCTGTCCACGTACAATGAAAGCTGAGCTCCTTCTCAATATTCGCTTGCCCCCCCCCCCCCCCCCACTTTGCTTTTCTCTATAAATCCCTTCCAGTGACGGTGGTAATGCATTTCTGTATTATGATTATATTTCACTGGTCTCTCTCAGCTAGCTAATACAGACCGTGGCGTCCTCAAAGAGAATACGTGCAAGCACTTTTGACCTATAACGCCAATAACAACCCAAAAGATCCCGACTTGATTCTTGTTACCTGTCTGCCTCGTTGACATGTATCCCCGACGGATTGCTGGTACCATTCTCCCAGCCACAGCACCATCTATCGTACTGTCAGTATTAGAGGGAAACTGAATTGATTTTGGCAGCTTGCAGCATAAAAGAATATCTAACGACTTTGGCTAGTCCGACTACTGACAATCATAGCAGGTGGCCTCTTCAATTCCCTTCTGATTCCTCAAAATAGCGGAAACGCTGCCGACTATTAGAGACTGTGCGATTGTATGGCTAAATAACCGACAACTTCACAACAATGGCGGAGGCTTCAAAAAATAATCGAAAATTTACGCTGCTGTAGCTTCCGCGACTTTATCATCTACCCAGAAACGAAGCGTGAGTAACACGTAAATGATATCGAATTTTAGCTTTGACCAAGTTGACGAACTGTATGCTCGACTTGAACAGCGCGGTAGGTCGAGAGTATCATGAAGGCAACGAAGATGAGAGCAGGAACAAATGAAGTGGTAGGTTTCCTTCGATGGTACGACACTGCCAGTCACGAGGGCATACGTTTCGCTGTTGTTGTGCGAAGCGCTGGTCCCTTCATAGGATACGATTATCAAATATTGTAGCATGGCCGCAATCGGTAGTCTACTGTAATTGAAAGCATTACAGGGTCGAGTAATTTTTTTTATGCATTCACTACTTTGCCGACGGATACGCTTAAACACACTCCCGTAGATACGTGCTTACAGACGGACGGATGGACTCACACAAATTTTCAGACGAGACAACTACGACCCGAATCTAGCCAGGCGTAACGGGTTGACGGGTTGCAAGTACGTAGTTACAAAATGCAGTTTTACCACAATGGGATTAAAATCTAATTTGAAGGGCCTATTGGCAGAGTAGTATCGCTCAGATGACATGCCGTTATACGTTTCCGGTCTTAACTTACCGGCCGGTTAATGTGTATGTACTCACTATTATTGTTGTTGCCGTTGGCCATGCTGTTTTTACCATTGATTTGCTGCCATCAACCGTTTGCCCCTGTCGGGCCATTACGCTTCATTCGTATACGCTGTATCGTGAACACGCACACACATACGAATACAGGCCCAGATTCATGAAGCGACAAAAACTCCCTTTGTATATAGCTTTTTTCTTTTCTGGATGTCCTGTGTGGGTCAAGCAAAAGCAATGGCATCAGCGGAGCGATGGCAGGAATTAGGGATGGCTCAACTCCTACATTGCCTACGAACGGCCACATCTCTTTTCAAAAAAACACGTCGGCTAGCAGACACGAGAAGCATATTCGGGTAGGAAAATCTATGCACACAGACAGTTCCATTTGTGGATGTACAGCGGCTTCCACAGGATACTGCAGTTAGATTTTTGATCGCTGGCTGAACAATGATGAAGGATCCAATACGCCAGAACGCGATTTCTGACAAAACGAATTCGAACAGAATAATTGTCATATGTAGGGGGATTTATTCCGTGACTGGGCGTATATACGCGTACGCTACTAAGGTCTCCGACGCTCATCGGTACGGCAACGACGACAGCTGTCACGTCGAGTCAACTCATAAATTTCACAGCTTATTTATACCGTTGTTAAGTTACTGCATACTACATTTGCACATAACCATATGTAGCTCTTAGTAGCTTTAGCAAAATTATATATATTAAATACGCTACGTAAAAGAATTAGAGAGAAATTAAATTTCGGGCGGATAGCAGGCCAACCGCTGCAAAATTAAGACTGCAAAAATGCGTAAAAAGTCTTAAACAGATTAACCGTTGAAGCTTACCTATGTGGACATATGTATGTATAAAAAAAAAAGTAAATTTTTGCAAAAATTTTACTCATCTTCAAAACGTTTATCTCAGGTCTGAATAAACGTATGTCAACAATGTTAGGATACTTTTTTTTTGGCTTTGAATTTATTTTAGTTTTTAAAAGACGACAATCTGATGCGGCCCATGTTACTCGAAGTAACTGAAGGAATTAAAAAAGCCATCTACCTAGAAAAACGATTACATCAAAAAAGTTCTTCCTTCGGTGACGTTTCAACGGTGGTAGATTCTGCTTTGTAGGAAGAAAGCGAAACGTGAGCTAGAATCCATAAAAAAGTTTTAATAGGAAACGATAATAGCTGTAAAAATCTATTGAATTATACTAATATTATAATTATTATTATGATTATAATTGCTTAATCGAATAATTTAATTTATCATTACAGAGGCTTACTAATGCCGTGGAGGTACAGACGTGTGAACATGTCCGATGTTTGATATCAGAAAACAGGCTGAAGCACACATTTGTACATGTGAATCGATGCTTTATATCTAAGGATGGGCTGTTTCCAGGGATTTTTGAACTCGTGCGACAGTTTTCGAGCTCGAAGTACAAAGAAATTATATACTAAATGAAGTCGACCCTATGGACAGTTTCTCCTAGTTAATCCGCTGGCAATACACACGGATGCACTATGGTGGTTCAATAAACAAGCTTCATAGCGTTCTGCAATCCTGATCACGAAACCAATGTCAAAGAGAACGCAGTTTTAATATATGCCAATATTTATGTAGAAAAGCCGATGTAATTGCAACGACTCTTGCTAGCTATATGAAAGTCTGATCAATACAGAAAGGTCGTGAAGAGTGAAAGAAACGATGAGTTAACTTATTTCCCCCGGGAAACTTAAGGGTCGTAAAATCATTAGGAATGATAATTAGTAAGGGTTAAGTGACGAGTACGAAATTAGCAAAGTCTAACACGAATGAAAGGCTGATTGTGCAACTGAGCTAAAGGTTTGCCTCCTATTAGTTCCAGTTACAAAGGTGGGGTCGTTGTCCAGTTTAACATACTTCAACGACTTTCTGTTTCGACTATTAGGCAATTAAATTAGATCGAAGCGAGACACACATATAGCAGTAAATATACAAATGATCTGTTCAAGATGTTTTTATTACGTACCATTTTTCGTTTTCTTTATTAGTATGGCTATTATGAACAACATTTATACTACTAGCTCGAATGGATTGGGTTGAATTAATAAGTTTGCATCACCTTGATTGAGCACATCCTGAACTCTTCATCTTATAGACCAAATATAGCTGTGCCGTTTTACGTAGTATTTACAGAGAAACTGCATCCCTTGTCAAACGCTTTCTTTCCTTCAAAGATATTTTACTTATTTTCTATATGAATTATCCGACTGAAAAATAAATGCCAGATATTGCTTTTTCATGATGAAGA